TTCTGTTATGAATTGGCGCTAAAATAATTGAAATTGAATTGAATTGAATAATTAAATTTTTTGGGGCAGCCCTACCTGAAGCAACAAACACTGAAGGACACTTACAAACGGCAAGAGAAAGTCCCTCTGGACAGCGAAAAAGCCAAATTTTTTAAATTTTACAGCCCACTATGCTATTTTGTAAACGAAAAAAAAAAACATTAGGGAACAGCTTGGATGCAGGTCATTTTCTAGGCAAAATCCTAAAGCAATGCAGAGCTATTAAAATGTCAGCTTATGCATTGATTAAATTCAATAACTTTAATATACTTGAAGTGTACACTGTGTACCTGAATTAACTTGGAAAATACAAGTATCTGATAGAGATTCTGTGTCAGCAAATACTCAATATTAAATTACTTAGATTAGGGGAATAAAACTTGATGGAGACATCCCTAAGCTGCACTTTGTTTTGCAGAACAAAGTCCATGATTTTAACAGCCTTAAAGATCCAGTGTGTGGGATTTTCTGGCATCTAGCAGTGTAATTGCAAATTTGCAGATACATTTTCTTCTTGTGTCACAACCCGCACGAATCATCAGAATTTGATCCATTCAGGCCTATAACAGTCTAGAATCCCCATCCAAGTTAACTAATGAAAATATATTAATATTATATTCCTTTTGGACATTTAGATATGGTCAGAACCTGTTTTAGTCTTTATCCAAAAACAATGTATATACTATAATGCAACCTACTATACCAGATCAGTCATACGAAGATAGAAACCATGGTTTGCATAATGATTTTTTTTGTTTAGAGGTTTGCTTGGAGCATTTGACTGCCCCCGAACCGAAATGTTGCCTTCTAAAAAAAACAGGTTCCGACTAGATCTGACTGGCTCACGGTCAGTAGGTTATGTATTATTATCGGTTGGTTACGACCATTAAAACGTTATGTAAGGTCGAGACAGATCTTCGTCAACTGCTTCCCTGACATGAACGCTGTAGACTGCTGCGCATACCGAAGCTTTGACGGTTCGACTGCAAAAACCCTCGCCGTCGAATCAATGCAACATAGCCGCGTCTGATCCCAGTAGCTCTCGCAACAGACCCGGTTGTTCAGAAACCGTGTGCTGGAGAGAGACAGTACGTGAACGCTTACCGAGGATCCAGCGACGGTAGCAGATCGCGGCACCACAGGATAGGCTACAGTTCAACGGCAGCAAAAACTATGTCTAGCTCCGCTATTTATCAGGCAGGCCTGGTTCTCTTCAGAAGGCGGGGCTTATTTTCTCTCTATGTCTCTCTCTCTCTCATCCAAATCTTTTGATTACTTATTATTAGAAAAAACAATGACATCCACAGTATGGTAACAATCGCAACAATGTGGAATCATCATGAAAACCAAACAAATAATAATTAATTCGTCACGGAAGTAAACAAGACTGAACGAAGAACCGCTGAGCAGGGGAGGATCTCTATTCACTGGGTGGTGAGAGGGTTACACAGAGACTTTACAGGGTGGCTGACATTTAATCACAAACAATCACATACATCAATATTTGCCACCAAATGACGATATTCACACTCAAAAACATTACACAATTGCGGTACATTACCCTCCTTAAATAAAAAGAAAAGTAAAGGTGGCATCATAAATTAATAAATTAGGCTTAAGCCTCACTTAGTCCAAAATGTGGCAATAACAGATCATTAAATTATTATTATGTGTTTTTAACACATTTTTGAAATTAGAAGCTTTAGTAAATGTTGTCTAAAGGTTCTGTAATAGCATTTTTAGCCTTTTTTAGTCTTGAACACCAGTCTTAATGTCAGTCAACAATGAAAATATAGTGTAATCTGAAAGATGAATTAAATTGCATTAAGCATTTTTGAGAGAGAAAACTGAGAAAGAGTGTAATTATGAATGGGACTAAGACACTGAATAAAGGTCAGAATTATTCAAATGTTGAACAAAATAAGGTTTGAACTAAGTTTAAAGCTTGAAAAATACTTTTTTGTGTGTCTGTTTTGTCGTGCATTAAGGCTGCAACTACTTATGTAATAATCTACCGATTATTCCATTAATTTAGATGAACTGAGTAATGGGCAAATAAATGCTTCTGCTTTATTAAAGCAATAGTAGCAGGGAAACATTGTGTAATATGCAATTTAAAAAAAAGGTTTCCGATAAGATCTTTATTATTTTATCTAGTCTAGCAGGTTTGTTGTGGGAAGTGAGTCTTTCCCGGTGTCTGAGGAGTAGTAACACAACTTAAGTCAGTGTGTAGATGAGGTAGTAGTATAATAGTTATTGAAAGGTTGTGTGTTGTGTTTACTACCACAAAGAAATAAAAGGTCTATGTAGAAGTTTATGAAGTTAGAATCATGCCAAAACCTCACCTAGGGTTGTCCCTTATTTCTCTTTTATGGCTGAGTAATAGGCTGCTCTGGCATTACGGAGGGCCCTTTCTACAAGATTTAAGATTATTTTTCCAAATTAAGCTATATTCAATAATTTCGAAGCGCGCCATTTCCTTTCAGATTCCTTGTTTGTTTTTAATTGACGAGTTGGTGGTGTACCACAGTGTTAGTTTCCTATGTTTATTTATTTTCTGTTTCTAGGAGCGATAGAAATCTAATGTTGATCGTAGAGAGCCTGCAG